AATTAACACAAGAATGAGAGGAGATACTTCAGAAAACATTCTATTAACAGGAATATAATATATGTACATGCTCAAAGAATTTGCTCAAAAGACCTTCTGCAAGCTGTAATGCAGGCTTCACACTTGCGCGATAGGGACTGATACCCATTTGCGAAGACACCACACATTTCCCGAATATCGCCAGCAATAATGGCAAACCTGACTATTAAATACTTATTTGTTTGAATGGGCGCATTCGCATGGCCCCACAGGAAGTCCAAACACGAGAGATCCAGTGATCTTGGTGGGAAACATCGAGCCATGCATCACCCTGGGAAATTCGTGGTTCATATAACAAACCATCATCTCGGCAATCCACGGTAGAAAATGCTGTTGGGTGCCAGAACTCACCCTTTTTATACATTTACAATGCCTCCTAGCGGCTTGCTGTTTGTGTTCCAACCGTACATGCTATGATGAATATTGCTCATATAGCTGCCTTCTATCATGCTCTAAAGTTTTGCCCACTTGTTCAGATTCACCCTGTTTTACATGTATGTATGTTACTGGATGACTTGGAGAAAGCTACCACGGAGTAGTAATGGTTCTTTGTGTTGTAATAACTTGGACAGACTTGACTGTGTAGTTAGAAAAATGGGCTGATATCAAAATTTGGCAAATGATTGATAAATTTTTTGGCAGCAATGAAAGCATTATGATGTGTTTTTTAAACGTAAACAGAATAGTAACTTTTAAGTTTTGCAGTAGTTAAATGCCATTATTTTATGTAAACAGAATAGTAAAATGAAACGATAAAGTACTAGATGAGTAAAACAAATTCCAACAGCTTTGCAAGCTAAAACATAGTCCTATCTATGTAATTAATCATGAAATAGTAGAATAAACAATTCTTGTAAATAATTATTGAGTAAATAAATATATACATTTATCAGATCAAAGCTCTGCGAAGTGAGTTTTAAACGTAAACAGAATAGCAAATTTTTGTTTACAGTGGTGAACAGTGATTATTATGTGCAAACAGAATAGTAAATGAAATTGATTAAATGATAAAACAGCGTCGCGGAATTAATGAACAACTTTCGTTAAAAACTTCAAAACTTTAAAATTCCATATTTTGATGCCCTGCCAGAACAAACTAAAAAGAAAAATTACTAAATGAAATTAAATGAAAACATTCATAACTTCACATCACTAATCCAACATTCTCCCCCAACAAAGCTTAACGTTCTGCAAATATTTATATAAATATATATATAATATATAACGGGCGGCTATAATTAAACTGATAGTGCTCACAGTGTTCTGTAGCGCGATCTATTTGCGAGAATGACGCCACATTTTGTAGGAAGATTAAACAAGACGGGGGGACGAAGGATTCCGCGAAAAAAAAATTAGTTCCAAAAGTCACCGCTAGGGGAATATTTGGCGCTGTGTAATAATAGAAAATAGAGTGTTAACAAATGCAAATCAATACGGAAATTACCTTATATTTTGCATTCAAATGAGGTTCAATATGGCTGGTGTTGTTGTGGACCACATTTTGCATTCTGTGCATAGTATGCACAACAGCAAAAAGTAACATGTCTGCAGGAATCTCCCGTACAGTCCGTGATATGTTATCCTTCAACGTAGCCAGGTCCTGGACCACTCCTTGATAGACCTTGGACTTAAGGTAACCCCATAGCCAGAAGTCGCATGGGGTAAGATCAGGCGACCGAGGTGGCCATGCAGTTGGAAAGTAGCGGCTAATGACTCTTTCTGTTGTGAATTTCTGTCGTAGCATCTGTTGCACCCGTACAGCAACGTGTGGAGGGGCTCCATCTTGCATGAAAATGATTTCCCCCAGGCATTGTCTTTGCTGAAGTGCCGGAATGACAAAGCTGTTCAACATGTGGCGATATTTCTCTCCGGTAACAGAACAGGTTTCCGGTCCTGTCGGGGTAATGTTCTCATAGAAGAATGGACCTACGATAAATTCCGCTGTGAACCCACACCAAACAGTTACCTTTGGTGAATGTAAGGAAATTGCTGTGACTGCATGTGGTGATTTGTCATCCCAAATTCGGCAGTTCTGGGTATTCACAGTTCCATTCAGGTAAAAGTGGGCCTCGTCTCCCCATAAGATTTTTCCACGGCCAAGCATCATCCACCTCCATTCTGGCAAGAAAGGTGAGAGCAAAAGTCAATCGCTTATCATGGTCGGGGTACAGTAACTCCTGTACACGGCTGATCTTGTACGGATAGAAGTTGATAATCTTTCGTAAGATTTTCCATACCGTACTGTAAGGCATATCCATATTCCGAGCTACTCCACGAGCGCTAGAGGTGGCAGCAATATTGTCTGGTCCTCTGTCGACAATCGCCGTGGCAACTGCTTCGATTGTATCCTGTGGTACAGGTTTTCGTCCTCTGCCTGACTGAACCTTCAGAGAACCTGTTTTCTCAAACGTCGCAACCATTGCTTTTAGCCCATTAACTGACACAGGACCATTACCTTTATGCATTTTTTTGTGCGTTCTAAAAGCACGAAGAGCGGCTGACGCGTTGCACTGGTTGAGGTAAAAGAATTTGACCAGTAACGCACGCTCGACTAAAGAAGGAGACATTGCACATAAACTTTCAATCCGATTGATTCGAAACGTAACACATTGCCTTTTAAAACCCAAGCAGCTGGCACTGTGCGAATGGATGTAACGTGAAATTTGAATAAAGAACTTCTTCTTCTGCTCAGCGTACGTGATATTGCAGACACGAGATTTATCGGTGTTTATGTAGATTTTACGCTTTTTTAAAAAGTGTTGCCATATTGCACTTGAACTAAATCAGAAAATGTGCATAATAAAAGGTAATTTTATTCCCTATTAATTTGCATTTGTTAACACTCTATTTTCTATTGCATAGCGCCAAATATTCCATTAGTGGTGACTTTTGGAAACTAATTTTTTTTTTTTTTTTTTTTTTAGCGGAATCTTTTGTCCCCCGTCTTGTTTAATCTTCCTACAAAATGTGGCGTCATTCTCGGAAATAGATCGCGCTACAGAACACTGTGAGCACTGTCAGTTTAATTATGGCCACCATTATATAAATAATAATTTAACAGTAAACTTTAAAAACACAGACAGTATTTCAGAATTAAATTTTTAAAAAAAAATCTTCTGGCTACACTAAATTTGCACTCTTACAATTACCGAAATAAAGCTCTAGGTTTGCTACAAGAAAACATACAGCCGGAAACCACAACCAAATCAAAATTGCGCCAAATAAAAAAACTCTCGCCATGTTTGGCACTCACCCCAATTATGGAATATTAACCAAAAAATGGCTCTTTAAAACAGGCATAGCGGTAAATTCCACACATAATTTTATTCCTTGATTCTTAGGGCTTGTATTCTTTTTCATTCACATCATCATTGTGGGTGCACTATGCAATTTTATACAGATTCTATTTTTAGAACAATGGACAGTAGCTAGTAGAGGCTAAGCAACACGTCAGCGATCGAAGAAACATCTGAACAGCAAGAGAACTGAAGCAAAAGTGTGCAGTTATCCAAAATTTTGAGTTCAAGTTCCGAATTAGCTACGTCAAAGATTCAGTTTACGTTCTGTATTAGTTGCATCATCAGCATTATTAAAGTGTACGGGTGGATTGATCTAGAAATGCTGCAGTTGAGATAGCTTAGAGAAGGGGAATTAAGCTGCTATTGCTTGTTTAATCCCTTAACTGCCGCGGCCGTATATATACGCCATGCTCAGCCGATGCATTAACTGCCACGGGCGTATATATATGCCCTTCTGATCTTCTATCATTTGCTTTGCACTGCTACCCGTAAAAATTATTCGCAAAACTTTGGAATGCAACACCACAATGACCTTGACAAAGTATGCAAAGGAGGATACCATTTCAGAGAAGTGTGGGGAGAAATTGGAGAGAAGGGTGTGTCTAAAGCGGTGAAAGCAATGACTGCGCAATATTGGCTGGTGTTGTTTGATTAAACGTATTTTTTTTAATCCAATGTCCCCCGTTTTCATTTACTTTTTGTAGTAGGTTCCAGAAATAAAAAAGATACAACAGATGTTTCAAACCAATTTTCTTTTTTGAATTATTTTTTGATGAACTGCTCGTGCTTCCTATTGTTACTGAAACTAACCATTTTGTAGACAAGTATATGAACCAACACCTTGCAAACGAAAAATCAAGAACAAAATCTTGGCATTCAACCAGCTCAGAAGAAAATATATGTTTTTTTAGGCATACTGATTTCACAAGGTATAACACTGAAACCTGATATTACACTTTACTGGTCTAAAAATGAATTGATCGAAACTCCATTTAAGGGATCTTTTTTATTATAAAAACATCATTTTTATTATACTTACATCTTTTTATTATACTTTTACTCAAAACATTAAATTTTGTGCATTTTTTATTTTTCTTTTATTCTTTATTTTGTGAAAGTAAACAGCTTTTAGAAGTAAAACTTGCACTTATTTTCCCCCTAATACATCGCATAACTATGCACGCCTGTGTGAAAAACCATAGCACTGGGAAATAAATCTTGTACGTTTTCCGCGGCAGTTAAGGGGTTAAGTTATAATTATGATTTACATATTCTTTATCTTATATATAATATGTGAAATAATTCTACCTTTTTCCCACTGAATTGAAAAGAATTGCATGTCTCATGAAAATGATAGTCACTAAACATTGTTAATGAGGGTGGAATTTGTATAATAGTGATGAGATGAACTTTTTGCATTACTATTTTTGTAATTTATCTCATATATAATGCAAATAGATCTAGTTTCCTTCAGTAAGACAAATTTTTCCTTCATTGTCTAGACAAATAACTTTGCATGCATTTCAATAATTCTGTAACCACTTATTAAGGTTTTTGCATTTTTACAATTTAGAGAAATAATTATTACAATTTTCAATTTACATTTTTGAGTAATAATTTATAATCAGCATGTGTATTTATATATTGAAATTATTCATACAGCAACAGGTCTGATTCCGAAATGTGTATGGAGATTTCTTATGATGATGCCCAAAGTTCTGTAAAAGTAAGATATTTTACAAATATATAATTGATAAAAGCTGTAAACTAAAGAGTTTTCATTACAATTAATTTAATCCTTCTCCCCCCCAAAAAAAATGAAAACTTATAAAGTATTTATATAAGGTCTACCGGAAAATTCTGTACATTTAGAAAATGAAAGAAATTAATATGTTTATATACCTTTAATAGTATTTATTGGACACTATAATATCTGTTGTTACTTATGATCTCTTGCCAGCATGATGGTAATTTATATGCATCATTTTTTTAAAAAATGTCTTGTTTTTTGAGGCGGAGAACTTGAGAGGGTGCTAGGTCTGGAGAGTATGGTGAATGCAGCAGAATTTCCCAGCCTAGCTATGCAATTGTCTGATGAATCACCATAGCAGCATGTGGTCTGACATTATCATAATGCAGTATGATGGTCTTTCTATTGAACATCGCCAGCCTCTTTAAGTACTTTGTTTAAATCATCCATTTGCTGACATTACGTCTCCAAATAGAGCTATTCTTTAGAATTCAAAAGCTCATAATGTATTGATCCTTGGACGTCTCACCATATACTCAGCATTCTGTTATTCAGCCTGAAATTTACTTTACAGTTGAAGGGGGCAGGTTGTTCGGTCTCACTGCATGCTCTTTTTCTAAGGAGGTAGGTAATCCACTTTTTATCACCAATCATCATCTGGTCCAAAACTGGTTCATTTTAGTTTCAAGCAAGCTGCAATGTGCATGTGACAACATGGTCATATAAATTTTTCTCAGTTGTGCTCTCAGTTTTTCTCAGTTTATTATTTTGTTGTTATTGTTGCAATCATTGATGTTATCAAAAAATGATCTTATGCTATCATGGTCTTGACAATATCATCATTGATCAAAGATGGCTGCTGAGATCAAATCATCAAAGATTTAAATAAATATCAATGATAGAGATCAAATCATCTTATCATTGAGAACAAAATAATATGCTTCAAAACTTTTTAAACCATCTCCTGCATGTTCTGTCCGAAACTGCATTTCCACCAAAAACTTACTAAATTTCAACACATTCCTATAGCTTTTCTTCCTTGTTGCAATTCATGTACATACATGACAATACAGTGTCATAAATGAACTTTATCATTAGCCATGTTTATATGATCTTGTTTCACTTAATAATGATATGAGACACTTTTGTTTCAGTTAATTGATAAAGGGAGATAACCATATGTTTCAAATGAATACCTGCATGCATGCTGAAACTTGAAATAACATTATCGGACAGAATGTTCCTCTAGAACTTACGCAGACTTGATATATACTTCAGGATTAGTGATTTCTATTTTTTATTGACTGTTTTTTTCCTTTTTCATGTTTTTTATTGATTAGTGATTTTAGAATTATTTAGTAATTTCTGTTTTCATCTTCTTATATTAATTTAGGTTTTAAATTAAATATTTCTTTAATCATTTTTACTTGTATTTATTAACAGGTCCATGAAAATTTGAAGAAAGATGATGCAGATATTTATGCTATGATTCGCACATCTGTATTGCGAAGTTTATATGCTGATATGAAAGAATTATGCGAACAGAATGAGCAGTTAAGTGATGAATTGGAGAACTACAGGTCAGTTTTGATATAGCTTATTCTATTATTTTAACACATTTATTCAATACTTTTAAACAAAAGATGTAAAATTATAACCATCTTGACTTTATTATAAGCATTAATAAAATACCAACTTAATAAGCTGTGTACACTTTGTATATTTAACCTGTTACCGCCCAGTGATCTGTTTATAGATCACCTACTTTTAGAATGACCATTGAGAACAGTATCTTTAAATGACTTCTTTTTGTCACTGGCTGATTTTGTTAGACATGTGGCCATACCCGCAGAGGCATTTTGAAACACTCTTTACCAGAACAGTCCAGCAGATAACGTCTAAAGTTAGCCAAGCGATGCTTCATAGCGCAGCTTTCGATTTTGTATCCAACGGGGAAAAAAATTAAAAGTAAGATATCCTTTTTTTATGTGTTCTGCATTTTCAATACCCCTTTAATTGTTATAATTAAATTTTTAGCTTGAACATGCTTATCTATAAATAGATCGCTGGGCATTAGTGGTAACTAATACTGTTTTTTTTTTCCTTTTTCATGTTTTACAAAATGTCCAGGTGTCCAAGTGTTTCACACAACCAAAGAAGCATTAGAAAATGTTTTCTAAGGAGATTGTATCAGTGCTTTACCGCCTGAGGTGGCCAATTTGACTGATGAAGAGTACTTTGATAATGGTGAAATGATCACTCCATCGGTAACAACATAAATGATTTTGGACCAAACTATTTCAGAGCAACTGCCATCTACGTCTAGCACCAGTTATAAAAATGAAAATAAAAAATAGTTAGTTCGAAACTATCAGACAAATGCAGCCAAAAGCAAATTGAACAAAAAATAACCCTACTTATGCTTTTAACAAAGAAGGTAATTTTTCGGTTAAAAATCTTGAGAGCATTTCAAATATTTTAGAAAATTTGAATCCACATGAAAGTTTTGAAGAATTTTTAACTCCCGAATTTTACGAATATGTAATAAATGAAACAGAAAGATATGCGAAAGTGTGAGAAAATAAGCCAGAGTTTTCAGTTACAGTTGATGAATTGGAAGAGTTTTATTGGTTTTTCGATTTTCTCTGGCTACCATACTTTACGTAATGGAAGTGATTGCTGGTCAGAGGAAGATCTCATAGTACCAATAGTAAATAAATATTTAGAAATTAATCTGTAATCCATTTTGCCAACAATAATTACGCAGCAATACAAAAATCAGACTGAGCATTCAAAATAAGAAAAATAATGATGCATATAAATCAGTTTTCAAAAATTTGGAATTTTCGATAAATTTCTGTCTGTTGATGAAATGATTAGATATTATGGTCATTATTTTTTCAAACGATTTCTTAAAAGCAAAGCTATACAGTTTTGCTATAAATCATGGGCTATGTGGAGTGTAAAGGGCTACTGTTGTAATTTTGACTTATGCTATGGTGCGAAGAATTTTGACAATACTTCTGAAACTTAGAATGAACCGCTTGGAACTTGAGTGGTGAAAAAAGTTTAAAAGACATCCGAAGATGTATGTCAAACTGTGAATAAATTAGAAAAAAAGCATTTGGTGATGTCATCGAGACCAAAGTGATAGGCTCTGTACTTTTAGATAGAAAAGATCATGTTATACGTAAAAGACGAAACCAAAGAAGATACCAATTTAAAAAATGTAAGGGAAGTCCTATTATGTTTTGTACAAAATGCAGTGTAACACTTTGTGTGAAATGTTTTCCACTATATCACACTTAAATATTGCAAATTTGCTCAATAAAAATATAACTAAGGATATTTAGATCAGTAAAATATTTTTTTTTTTTTCTTTTAAATCTTTTTAGTTGGTTTTAATTTTACAAAAAATTAATATCTTTTTAACTAAATTCGTAATTTTTCAAACATAAGATCAAAGGGCAGTTACTTGTTCTTTTATTACCAGAAGCATGCAGCGATCTATTTATAGATCACCTGTTATCTGAACTGCTAATTACAGTAATTGAGTAAAACTTTGTAATTATTTATTTATGATATATGAAATGTAATTTAAAAATATTTTAAAAAAATTCTCATTTTAAAATAATTTGGGCATTAACGGGTTAAAACAAAGTCATAAGATATAATTTTTAAATTGTATTACTATATTATACTAGATTATAAATACTTTTAGTAAGTAATCCAATATAAAATTTTACTGTTTGTGCAACAGATGATCATCTAGCATCTAGAAGAAGAAATATATGTATCATTTAAAAGTTTAATAGAAGCTTTGCTTTGCTTAGCTTTGCTTTCAGAATTAACCATTTTGAGAGAGAACTCCAGAGAAAATGTGTGCCTTCTTGCATCTGGTTATGTAACATCATGCAAATAGGTATCCCATTTTTGTTTGCCAAAATATGAAGTATGCTACAATCCATTAATTAAAAGATTAGACTTATTTATATAAACATAATAATAAAATTTTACTTTAGTGGGAGACTTCAAAATTTTGTAATACACCTGAATATAAACGATTGATCATATATGTGGAATATAATAACATTTATCATAAACAAACTGAAAATAGGTATATTTTATGACATTCTACACCATAATAATATATTCTAGAAAAACAGCATAAGATAAAGTTGAGATAAAAATAAAAATGGTTTACTTTTAGTTTAAATCTACTTAACCAGCTAGTTTTTCAAAAGAAAAAAGTTGCTTTTTTGTGATTTTTGTAGGAGCAGTTTTCTGTTAGCCTTAGTAATTTTTAATAACAAGTATTTTCTTTTTTTAGTGAGCATTTCATTTAAATCCTTAAATATTTCAATGCCTCCCTCAGCTGTATCACTCACCTTTTGTTAATTCTTTATTTTACTTTTTCATTTATAAAATCTTCATTTTCGTTCCACTGATATGGTTCAAAAGCTAAAAATAATGTATTGATCTTCATTTTGTGAAGAATTCTCATGTTCATATTGTAGCACAGTGGCCTAATTTAGGGTTTGGTTTGGGTTGCTCATACTGTTCATATATTAGATTAATAGTTGAAATGTTGCTGAAAAATCACTCTTTTATCAAAATTTGATAATTTGTCAGAGTAAGGCCAATTGAGTTTTCACAAAGATATTATAGATGTCATTGTGGTACTTTTTTTGAGACTTTTTTTATTTGTTCATTAAAATTTTTATATTTTTGTAGATCAAGACATAGATCATTTGCAGAGGCTTGTACGGTAAGGGTGCCTGAATCCATGCACAGATGTAAACGAAATAACCATCATTTGTTCTTAGTTCTTTTGTTGTCAGTCAGTTTCAAAATATCTTTTTAGTTGAAAAATAAGTAGATTTTAATTGCATAAGTGTAGCCCTTCATTCTATGTGGTGAACTGACCCCAGAACCCACTAGTATAGTTTTCAAGGAAATGTTCCCAAATTTCCATTTTACCTTCAGTTATCTTTTGATAATTGTCTCTAGCCTGTGCCTGTCTATTTATGATGCATTTTGTGTAAAGCAATCATGCTTAAGATATTTTGGCCCACATTCCATCTCTAAAGGAAAACACATTTACACTATTATTATTATTTTTTTACTCTTCACTCACTTTTTCTGTATATTTTAAACAAAGGCTTTGATGCAATGCTGGTGTGACATCCAGGTCTAAGAGAACACGAATACAATGAGCATATCTTAGTATCCATGATCATAATATACATGATCATTGAACCAAAAAACATAAATGGTTTCTCTGATTCCTTTGAAAAACTTTGAACTACCAGATAGAACTCTATTCAATGTTAATGCTATGATGGAAATTTTTAAAACAATGGTTATTCTCAAGGAAAGAAAAAGTAATGAATCTTATGAGTTTGTGGCTTTTTGGGGATTTACCACTTCATTTTCTTTGAGTGCAAATGCTCTTTCAATTCTATCCTCTGAATTGAGGTTTTGCATTCTTACATCTTTTGCTAAACATAGGATATTTTTATAAAGATTATTAAATATTTGCTTTACAGCCATACATATCTTGGGGAAATTATTGTTTTTTTTACTGAACATTGGCTAAGACTTATCTGAGGAAATTATCTTTCTTTTTCACCTTTTTCAAAACAGCAAAACCTCCCACAGATTCTTCTACCAAACTCTTTGCTTTCTATTTCTGCATCAGAAATTCATCTGCATGGTGAGCTGTAAAGTTTCTGCATTGAAAATAAGGTGACCATTATTGAAAATATATGGAATAGATGGAGTGTAAAACTGATAATTGATGGAATTCCAGTTTACATAAAACTGTGATAATATGAAAAATAAAAACTCTTTTAATTTTTGTACATGGAAAAAATTTGGGAAATAAAGAAAAGTTCAGTAAGTTTTAGCATGTAAATATTGAAGAAGTGTTGCTGAAATGATCTGCCATTCAAAGAACCCATAATTTGATAAATATCTGGAAAAATTCTTGAGACAAAGAATTTTCCTAACACTTTGGGGAAACTGGAAAAGAACAACAAATTTAATAACTGTGTGTAATAATGATTGTAATTAAATTTTATTATGATTTTTCAAAATTGAATTTATTATTTACTGGTTTTGGTAGATGTGACAGTGTTAATCAGTTTTTTGTCTTCATTCATGATCAGTTTTTATACATGTTTTAGAGATAATCCATTTTTCTTGTCATATCAGGTATAGTGAACAAAACTTCTGATCCCTTGAAACTTGCTATAGGAGGGTTCGATTACACTCCATTGCTATACAATAGCAATTTGATAATCCATGTTCAGTTTTGGTTGTAAACAAAACAAAATTCTGATTTTCTGAAAACTCAGAATGGCAAATTCGGTGGCAATATATTCTTATATGTACTTCTTTCGATAAAACTTTGTGAAAGAATTTATTTAAAATTCTAAAATGAAATGCATTAGTAGTGCAGTAAATATTTTAGAAAACTCTTTGATTACTAAATATAATTTGTTTCCTTTAGTGAAACAAATAACATATACAAAATCTTGTTTCACAACAAAAGTATTTAGGGCAAAACTGAATAGAAAAACCCCATTCAAATTTACACAAACTGATTTTTTTAAAAACTTTTATATGCATTTATTAATTTTTACAAAAATATATTACCCTTTTTTATGATAGCCCTACAACTGATAATTCCTACATGATTATGACAGTGGTTTTTTTTTTTTTTTTTAATCAACCAAAAAAAATTCATAGGAGAGCATGAGGGAAAAGGTCATTCTTTTATTCTTTGAAACAAGTCTATGATTTATTGTCAGTTAGCGTTCTTTTATTTTTAACACATGTAAACACATTTTTTTACCATATTGCATTATAAGGAGGCTGTTAAATGACTTATCACTAATATGAGAATTTGTGAGTGTTATTAAATTTTGCTATATCCTTTCAAATGTTGTTACATTTTCCAAATGATTTCTCTTAATTGATTGTCAAGTCAGTTAACAGAGACCTCAGTTGATAAAAACTTGGTTAATAGAGGTTCCACTGTATTCTGCTATCTTTCAATATGAATTTTGAATTCATGTGTTAAAACATGTAATTTTGTAAGACATTTATTCTTTCTTTCATGCACCTCATATGTTGATTATTAACATTCTGAGCAATTGTGCCGGAGCTCAGTTCGATATTTTCCCTTGATAGCAGCGCCAACACGGACTAGCATCTCGCTATACATCTTAATGTCGAAGGTTTCACATTTTCCAGATACTCTTTGTGAATAATAACATGGCAACACCACTATCCTGTATAAATCCAAAATTTAAATTTTAGTATATGACAGAACTGGTGTAGCATAGCTGCCAATTCTCCATGCTTGCTGGGAAACTTCCAGTTTTTAATTTGTAGTCTTTATTAAGGAAAGAGATTTTCAGCAATTAATGAAGCTTAAGTAGAGATGGAAGGGAAGAAAGTTGTGTCATGATGTATATGAAAATGGATTTGGTTGCATCACTGTCTGAAATATAAGAACTATATACATTTGTGTGAAAGAAAGGGACAAACTGATGGATTTGAATAACGTTGTCGAAAGCAAGAGAGTATGAGGAGAGGCTTGTGGTTCAGCTATAGTCATTTGAGTACTTGTGATTTTCCAAGGATTAAGAGGTATTGGTGATGTGGTCAAATTAATTTTTCATTCCTATAAGCTATTATCGGGCTGTATCTACCAACGGAGGAAGATTGAGGTTAAGTTAAAAATGTTAATTTCCTTTAAGGCGCTCCCATTTAATGCCCATTTCCGTGCAGCATCTTCCAGAGTTTGCACAGAAATGAACCTGATGATTTTCATAAACATGCCAATCAGTGGACTGAAACAAATTTTCACTTGTTGAAGATGTAACCATACATGTGTGATTCTCATGTATAATTTTGACTAAAAATAATTGTGGTAAACATACTTAACACATCATTTCAAGAGAAGCAAAATTTTATTGAGTTTTAACGAAAGTTTCCCACCACTGCAAATAACATCTGCACAAGCAGATGGCAAGCACAAACGTTGGTGTGTTTAGTCATATTTTGTCAAACGATTTTTGGCATTTGAAAGAAAGGTACTTGCTTTAGAACACTGTATTGTGAAATTTGTAAAAAAAAAAAAAAAAAATTAGGTACAAGTTGTCTGAAATGAAACTATCATGCTACCAGTTAGAACCATCATTTATTTCCAGTTCTGTT